CAAAGCTGTATATCATAAATCATATTTATAAATATTTAGCATAGATTTGTCGAGCTTCTTCGTGTTGTATTAACTATTACCTTCCTAACAGCATTGTCAGAATCTACAATAGTAACTTTTTACTCTAAATAACAAAATATAACGTAATTTCTGACAAATGGCGTTGTCCACGCTGCCAAAAATCGCAATAACGCTTAAATCTTGAGAATTGCGACGTCTGGTAGTGCTGGAAGTGCACCTTACAATTTAGTGCTTAGAGTGAAAGGTTAAAGAATCACTTCACCTATTGTGGGTGCGGACTAACGGACCAAGTACCTAAAGGAAACTCGCGTGGCTGAAAGGTGTCGCGTTTGCAGTCGGTATCAGAATGACGACCGCTCCCGACATTTCCATTTTTTGACTCGCTCGCTGCCGTTCCCGCAGAGGCGTGCAAACGCCATTTTCGCAATCGCTATTCGCAATCTCCCGACCCGACAGCTTGCGGCGGCAGTTACCGAGGCCATCGAGGAGATTTTTCCGTGGGATATCACGACGGCGCCCTACGTAACCTCGCCTTTATGCAAGCGCGCGCGGTGGAAGGCGCTTGTGTGTACTCAGCTCCCGTCATATCGCATAAGCCGTGAGGTAGTTTAGTTTGTCGGGAGTTCAGGTACAGGTAATTACCTACTGGCTACCGGCGTCAGGTGGTAGTGACACGGTAGCGTCGACCTTCTCCTCCTCCGCCGCCGTTGCCTCTTCCTCTTACTTGCACGGTGCAGCTTGTCTCTCTCCCTCTCTCTCTCTCTCTTTTCCTCCTTTCTTCCTCCCCTCTCCCTCCTCGCCCTTTCTCTTTCCTTCGACACCCCTATGCTCCATGCGTTTACACGCACTCGCGCAAAAATACGCCCACGGTACTGCTAAGCGATCAGTTCCATTAGCTTAATGGGATCATCTGCGCTTGTTCCGTCGATGGACTGACTGTCTTGTCTGACAGCTTCCCCACGCTGTATTACAGGTGCGAAGTTAAGTACGAGTTTTGCATCAATTATTCCTCGCGCACCTCGTTGCGCGTTGCTTAATCTCAGAGCACAGGGGGGAGGCGCCAATTATTTTAATGACGCTTGGGAAACGTGCAATCTTCGGCTGAAGTAATAAGCGAGTACCGAGGAGGTCGTTTGATCTATGCTAAAGACTCGTGCGAAACACGAACATGTCGAATCCGGCGCTTAATGGGCGACAGAGCGCGATCGTTGCGTCGATTTATCAATTGTGCATCTCACGTTAGCGCTTACGGCCTTACACGGGGTGCGTTTTAAGCCACGTTTATGGCAGATCTGCGGCTGCTCTTCAATTATGAGCGAGCCACGCGCGCGCCGTGTACAGGTGTACCGGCAGTAAAGCCAGAAATTCCTCGACGTGCGAATTATGGTGGTGGCATTTCGCGGATATGACTGTGATTTCAGCGACGCGATTACATCATCAAGCGATACGTTAAAAACGAAAAGTGGCTAAAGTACGAGTGACTCGTGAGAACGAGTACGTAGCAAACAATTTTATGCTAAAAACTGAAATTATTGTCTTACTTTAACATAGGGAATATATTAAAAAGTATATAAATACATGTTAAATTAACACATTCACCTTGCTAACATTTTACCTTTTCAACATATTCACCTCGTTAACACAAAAATTTGCGTGGACTGTTTGTGAAACAAAAATTTTTATTCTGCGCAAGTTATATTTAACTCCGCGAATTTTCCGGAGTCGTGCGAATTACGTGACATGAATTTGTAGACATTTATTAACGCTTCATTCGAGTCTGTCTCGAAACAATTTTCATTCGTAAAACGCGATAATACTGTAGATATTGTTTGTGACATTTTTCAATTATATAATCTTTTAAACTTTTTTTTAAGTACGCTTTTATAATGTATTTATTTAACACGAAATTAAAATATGTCAAGATCCGTTTAATCCTCAAAATCAAACGTATATAGTAAAAAATATTTTATACTTTTGTTAAAATCAGTCCTTGTTAAAATGTTGGCGTTAAATTTTTTTTAACATATTCATGTGTTAATTTAACATATTATGTTTATGTTTTGAAAAATAAACATATCCGTATTATGTTTATGTTATTTCGATGTTTTGAGTTGAGTCGATGTTAAAATAATATATTTTATATTTCTCAGTGTCGATTAATATATTATGGATGTTAATTCTACTGAATATTATTGATAACATGCGTTGTATGTTAAAATATATAAAAATTAATAGACAAGTTGTGTTATAATTATCCTTAATAACAGTCGTCATCTTGAAACTTTGAAAATACAAAGTACATGTACGAGCTCATATAGCTAAAGAATAAAAGTGGTGTAGTACGTAAAGTAGGTGACTCAAGTTTCCAAGTTCGAATTCTATCAATGGTAAGCATATTTTTCAAGTACGGTATTGAATCAATTAAATGGTACGTGATTAAGATTTCTAAAAACAATACGATGCAAAGATAAATAACATTTTTATTGTCATTAGGAAAATAACATTTATTATATTTGACGTTATAAAAATATCAATTTAACTTTTTATATTTTGCTTCCATAAACATATTCCACAAATATTGTCAAAATATTACATTTTTTGTGTTAATTTTTGACATGATATTTGTATCATTTTTCAACATATTCACTTTGTATCATTTTTAAACACATTCACTTGTGTTAAATTAATGCAAAAATTTAAATGGACCGTTTGGGACGCGTGAAATTTGTTAAATTTAATATAAAATTGTTTACAATATAAATTTACAGGTGGGTAAAGTCGTAAGATCAAAGTAAAGATTAAAATTCCTTCTCCATCGCGAGATTTTTCGCTTGAGTATGCACGAATATTCATACGAACTGGCAATAATTTCGCGACGAAACCGATCGGTGGATCGCGACGGGATCGTTCGCCGAAGAAGCTCGCCGGCGTGGGATTTTCCTCACCAGACCATTCGCCGATCAAGGTTACGCACAGCGCGACGGAGATGGTGTGTGTAGCACATTTCGTTATCGGCAAGCCCTCTCCGTCGTTTTCGCCACGCATGCCGCAGGCGTTCCAGAGGAGATAACGCGCCGCGCGTACAGGATGGGAACAAGACAAGGTGGATGACACGCTCCGTAATTGCATGTTATCCGTTGCACCCACGCGGAGTTTGCTCGTGTGCGTAAAGGTACGCGCACGCGAGGTGCGTGTGTACACACGCGTCGGTTTACGCGGAAGAGTGTACGGACGAATCCGGCTGCCCGTTCCACGTGCCTTCGTGGCTGACGCTCCCGGATGTACGACACAAAGGATGGTTTGCGGCCACGCTGTTCGCGTTCTCTTCCTCGGGCTGAATGGGTCTCTTTCGGTTTCAAGTGTAAATAATGCCCGCCTCTCGAGAGCCTCCTACTCTCGCGGCTTTATTGGATGGCCCGTTAGAGCCGCGGAGTACTTAATTCGCGCAATGAAAAAGCCCTTCTGCCTGGTCTCAACGGGGTTACTATCGCATAACAATTCTCACGTCGGCGAATAAATTTTATTTCCGCGGGATCTCCGAATGGAGGAGAGATTTGAGTAGAAACTCTTCGATTAAAATCCGAAATAGAAAGAGAGAGAGAGAGAGAGAGAGACTTCCTTAATCAATTCTGTTATGTCAATTTGATCGATTACTTATTCACTCTTCACTCATTCACTCAGGGACGTCACTCTCCAAATTTCTCGGAGTGAAATTTCATTCCAAACGAGTGAGAATTTATTTCGAACAATAGTGAAAATACTGTCATTCGGAATGGAGTGACACTTCACAAGAGTAAATGTTCCATTCCAATTGTGGAGTGAATGTTCCACTCGTTTGGAGTGAGTGTTTCACTCGTTTAGAGTGAACGTTTTGGAGTATTTCATTGGAATAAATGTTTCATTTGTTTGTTTTAAATGAATGTTTAATTTATTTAGAGTGAATATTTCACTTGATTGGAGTGAATAATTTACTCTCCAGAAAGAGTGATTTCTTCTAATTTACATCCTTCAATACATCTTTTTTACTGCGTCGTTCTTAACCAGAAGTGTGTTTGACGACTATATCCGTCATGCGTAAAATTTTGTTACAATTTGATATTTAAATTGTAATTCTGGCGAAAACTAAATTATATTCGTAAATTTTAATATGGGTAAAATGTTTAGAGGACAAGACGAAATGAAACAAACAAATGAAAATTATAAATAATTTGAGTTGGATTTATAACTTCCTGAGAGCTAACTCGCTTGATTATCGCGACACACACTGGTGGGCGCTTTGCAAAGAGATCGTCACAGTTAACTGGTTAAAGTATTGTTAATAATTTTGTCATAAATTTTCTCAATTATATATCATTTAATCGATTCCATGTATATTGTATTTGAGAAATTTACTTGCTACTGGTTATGTTCGAACTCAGAACTTCGGGATTTTGAGTCTACTGCATCTCGCACTATGCCATCTCACCCTGATTAATAAATCAATTTTATATTGTCTGTATACAATCCTGAGCACCTTACAAGATCCCCCACATATATTTTATGATAGAAATATTATACATATATAATTATTATACGAATCAGTAAAGCTTCTTATTAAATATTTATAATATTTAAAAGAGAGATGGAGGAGTTGACAGGACGATTACAATAAAGCTCGATCATATTGTTACTTGTAACATACGCTATTAGAGATTAGGTTAAGTGCGGTACGTAATAAAAATATTCACTCCATAAGAGTGAAAAGTTCAACTCCAACTCGAGTTATTTGGCTGTCACTCCATTTTTCGAGCGGAGATTTCACTCCGAGACATTCAGAGAGCAAATGTCGCGGGTATCGGGCTTTCATTCGAATCTTATCTTTGAATACGTAAAATCTATTTTACGAACTAGGAATTGAATAACTTTATCTCCGAGTTTTGATGTCGTGGCCGATATCACAAGACGCGGTGCTTGAACGCGCGGACTCATTTTTATTACAGCGTCGTCCGTATCACGAGAGAAGTCGCGGGAAGACGTGGTCCAGCCTGAGGCGCACTCGCCCACCTCACAGCAGCATCAAAGGATCGGCGCGGCGCCTTTGACCGGTCAGCAGAAGCAGACGAACGGCTCTCGGGCGGAGTACAAAGGTGCGTCTGGCTCCTCCGACAACGACAGCCCGTTGCCTTCGCAACCGCTCAAACCCGAGCTTGAAGAGGGACCCGGTGCTAATGCCGGGCCCAACACGTGCAGAACAGATGAGCAGAATGATGGGGTTGCGTTGGCGAACGGCACGTCGAGATGCGTCAGCAGCATCTTCGCGGGGCACGGCAAGCTTAAGAGATTGCTGGGCACCCTGGTACAATTCGCCACCGACATCTCGACGGACACGGGCGACACAGTACGCACACTGGTACTCGCGCTTCTGGTGAGTGAACGCTATTTCTATCTCACTCTCTACGAGGTGACGTCTCTCTGATGCAAGGGCAATTTCGAGAGTCACGTTTAGTCGTTTTTGGGCTTTTAATTTGGTTGTATCACACATACACCTATATCAAGGCGTATAAATTAAATCGGTACTTCCGTTATCAGAAATCATTTATTTATCAATGGAAGGTGTACAATTTTGATTATCAAAATAATCTCCGTTATTACCGATGATCTTATACCATTTATCGGATAGCTGTGAAATTCCATCGTGATAGAAATTTGACAGCATTGAATTGATAAAATCATCGATAGATCTTCGAACATCCTGTACTATTTTAAAATCAGCCAGTTGAATGATATTGCAATGATCGAAAGGTTTCAGAAAATCTGAAGAGAGCGAAGTCTAAAGAATAAGCCGGGTGTGGTAAGCTTCTCAGCCCATATTAAAAATAGCGTTTTTTGGGGTTTTTTTTGCCAAGTTTGCCAAGCTTTCGCGAAACTTCTGATACCATTCTTTACAAGTTGTATATTCACTCACTGCGTCTTCACCAAAAGTCGAATAAATTATTTTTATGTCTTCGGTAACATTTTTGGAAATTGAAATACAAAAAGAACGCAGTGTTACAGCGCTTTGTCGAATTATAATGCTCATTATTATTTTCTCAGATTATATTGATCATTCTGCAATGTTATGTGGTATTTCAGATGGCAGCTCTTTAAAACTACAATTGAACAGAGAATAATTGAACAGAAAAATATTTAGATTTAAAGTTTTCATTATATAAAAACGAGTAAGACTAAAGGTACACCGAATTAATTTACACATCTAATACATAGTTACGGTCTGAAAAAATTACTAATTTCTATTGTATTGGGAATACAAATTAGTTCGGTCCGTTTTCAAAAGATGGCTCTGGCTGTTATGAATGTTTCATAGTGACAACTGATTTCGGTGGTTTCAAGAGAGATTAGACATCTGTCAATAATATTCAGTTTATATAGCTTTGAGTTTCATACAAAACTCCTGTTTTTTAATATGTCAAATTTTGTGTTAACTAAGCAGCATTTGCGGGAGGTTTTAGTTTTCTGCTTTAATTGGAAGGAAAGTGCAGCTGAAGCGCATCGAATGCTTGTAGAAGTTTATGGTGACAATGCTCCAACTGATAAATCATGTAGGGAATGGTTTCGACGTTTCAAGAATGGTGATTTCAGCGTTGAAGACAAGCCTCGCTCTGGGCAGCCAAAAAAATTCGAAGACAAAGAATATGCTGCTACAACCTGGCGATTCCATTACGGGTCATTAGTATAGGCTACAATCGATTCGTTTGAGCCGTGCATTGCGAGAAAAACGGCCGGAATACGAGCAAAGACATGACAAAGTTATTCTTCTGCATGATAACACTCGGCTTCATGTCGCAAAAGTCGTAAAAAATTATTTGGAAACGCTCAAGTGGGATATTTTACCGCACCCGCCGTATTCGCCGGACATTGCTCCTTCTGATTACTGGTTGTTCCGACGGATGCAGCACGATTTGGCAGGTCACCAGTTCACTTCTTTCGCAGAAATTGAAAACTGGCTCCTAATTTGGATCGCCTCAAAAGACGAGACATTTTTTCGAGATGGAATTCGAAAATTGCCTGAGAGGTGGGAAAAAGTAGTAGCCAGCGATGGACAATACTTTGATTAATCTGTTCATTCATTTTGTTCTGAAATAAATGCATTTTTGACCGCAAAAAACGGACCGAACTAATTTGTACTCCCAATATTAAAAACTTTTTTCAAAGAAAAGTTTCATATTCTTTTTAATTGCGACATGTTTTAATCGCTAATAATATATAATATGTCAATATATAATAATAATCACAATGTGGTATAATTTCTTGAGATAAATGAAAGGAAAAGGAATTCATTTGATCTTTCAGGAATTGATTTCCTTGAGGAATTCATTTAATCTTCCACAGGCATTCCGATAGATTTTAGCACGACATTCACTGCGATTTACGCGATATGAACCGTTAGTTCATACTGGTATTCTCTGTCAGATGATCACGCGTTCCATCGGATATTTTACCGAGCGTCTCCTCTTAGGTGCACGCAAGACCTTTCGGACTTAGAAACTCTTTCAGTACCAACGATAAATAACATACGCGCGTACCAGCTGACGGGGTTTTCCGTCGCGTGCTAAAATCGCGGAACATGCAGTACGCATTAGCGTACTTTTGCAACGCGTTAGACGCATCCGTGGAATAAAACACATTCCGCACGCCCGCATTATTCTCCGAAATGCTACGTTATTTTAGTTTCTTTTTTTTTTTAGAATCATTCGATTACGAGAAACACTATTTCACGTCTATTTCATATCGTTGAAAAATTCGTTAACGTTAAATTCTGTTAATTAATCCGAAACAGTTAATTACCCCATTACGAAAGAGTGCGTTTCAATGCTATTTCACCGGTAATTTTTGGACAATAGTGAGGTCATCAAAACGCAGAGGTCCACGTGTAACTAACAGGCGACGGATAACGCGCGACGTGCATGCGTGCACGCGCAACTCGGATGAAAAAAAGCATAGTTAATCGATGCCGGTCGTAGCGTGTCGTTAAACAGCTCGTAAATATTCAAAGTACGTACATAATGCATAATGTCGTCGTTGTGTACCGAGCGTGCATACGTCCCGGAAACGTGACATCTGGTGACCGTGCTTAACTGTAAAACGATCGCGGCACGTGACAAACGCAAAACCAAATCCGTGCGACCAAAGCCGCGTGCACTCGTTCCGCACGGACGAGAAACGCCGGCGTCCGTCACACGCCGGCCGGGATTCGATCTTTTTGTCGAAGATTGAATTACAGCAGCTAAATGGCACACACCGCGCATTGTTAATTGCAGAGCGGCAGCATGACCGCGGAGGAGTTTCACTCGGCGCTGCAGGAGGCGACGAACTTTCCGCTCCGAGGATTCGTTTTGCCGTACCTCAAACACACCTTGCCCTCCTTACAGAGGGACTTGAGCAACGCGGCCAGAGCGAATAACCAGGTAAAAAGGCGATTGATTCCTGCTCGACTGACCCCTCACCTCTGTATGTTGCTTCGCTCTATCGCATTCCCTTCTCGTTTCCCTCTCTCTATCGCGAGTTACGTGATATTTTAGAATAGCCGGCACGAGTTTTCCCCCGAGATCCGAACTCGGGTTTGACGAAACGTCACCAGTCCGCAATGAGAATTACGCTGACGGCTGATCCATAAGCAGTCCGATGCTTTATTGGAGGCACCACGGCGGTCATAAATCACATCGCCCCGTGTGCAACGTGGCGCGGCGCGTAACGATGCATGAAGACGCACGTTCCATGTGCACCGCAAAAATTGTTATCCATCTCCGGGAGCTGAGCTCTCCCTCTCTCTCTCTCTCTCTCTGTCCGTCGAGGCCGAAAAGGGTCATTTTTTAACTGCGAAACTCGAGATTAAGAAGCGCGACGGCAGTTGAAATTTTGTAAATATCGACGAATAATTAAAATTCGTGCGTATTTCTTAATCCATTGAGAGACCATGTGACGAATCCGACTTGTGACGTGTATTTTGTGTTCAAATTTTTTGTTTTGAGACGTCTTTAAGACGTCCTAATTTATTTATTTTGGGACGTCTTTAGGACATCCTAATGTTTTATTTTAGGACGTCTTTAGGATATCCCAAACGTCTTTTAGGACATCCTAATTTGGTTTGGAATGTCTTTACTGTAGCAACTAAATTATCTGTAACATATGAACACTTAAAACTTTAACAGCGTGAGCAATTTTAATTGCTATAGTAGCAAATTCTTTTGCTGCAACAGCAACAGTTTTCTAATGCAATAATTAAAATTGCTTACGCTGCTAAAGTTTTAGGTGTCTATGTTATAACTAATTTGGCTGGTAAAGTTAATATTATTTTCCGTGTACATATTAAAGGAAAAACATAAAAATTGACGTAGAATTGACATATCCATATTTCTTTGCTGTAAAGTATTGAACTCTGTTAAATAAAATATACACTCAGTAAGCAAAATGTTAACAATATACCGACCGATTGATAACAGATTCAGTCAGGACACTGTGGCAGATCCATAACCATCTGTGTCCACATTAAGCTAATGTTCTGTCAATAAAGCCTTCTGACACACTTGATAGCAAATTGGCGACAGAAACCGAGCAAAATCTGCAGTATGTTTCATTTAAATACATTTAAATGGTGACGAAACGACAGATTTTGCTCGATTTCTGCTGTCAATTTGTTATCACACGCTACTAGCAGATCCTGTTGTATTTCTGCTAGCAAACTGCCGACATAATTTACAGTAGATACTGCACAAAATTTACTTTTACACATTTGGCTATCTGGGTGAACTTTGTTTATCGTGTATACTAGTTGCAGCTGAAGTAGCAATTTCTGTTTGCAAGTTCGTTCGGTTGTGTTATTAACATCGTTTGAGTTTTCGTTGTGTTGAAGTTTCTGTTATCTTCTTATGAAAATTAAAATAACAAACCAGCGGTAAATAATTTATTCAACATTTGCTATTTTGTAGTTTGTTTTACCTTTTTAAAGCATTTTAGAGCTTGTGTCATTAATCTCCTTATTTTCTATCACTGAATTACGTAAAAAAATTAAGTAGGTTGTTGTATAAACCGACATATATATCAACTTTGCTGTGAAATATTATCTCACAGAATATAATTGAAACTACTGGTGACTGATTTTCTCTGCTTTCCTTGTTTGTTTAAGATGGTCCGAAAAAAAGTCAGGGGATTTCTTTCTACATAATAAGAAATACGGAAATTATAGATAACATATAAGGAGATATATAAGGAGATATATAATAAATGTACAAAATAATATAGTTTTGGTGCTTTTACTTTATTTTTTTGACAATTTCCTTTTATATTTCACAGCAAAGTTAATATATATGTCGGTTTATACAACAACCTACCTAATTTTTTTACGTTGCTTTTCTTCGGAAATAAATACAATCTTAATATAGGCTAAAAATCTACGGCATATGATTAATACAAATGCGTTAAATACGTATCATTATCCTAAAGTTTCTCCGCGTATCATTATTTAAATTTTTCTCGAGTCATTTTTCTTACGAATCTATCTTATCAAAAAATCCTTATTTGCGTCACTAATTGCACATCTATCGTGCAAACAAGACACATAACTCATTTCGCCAATTACTGGCGAGAGATCGGCACGGTTATTGTACTCATCGCAATCACGCGCTCCCGTAATGGTATGTGGCGCGTTCGCTTCTTTTTTTTTAATTTTATTGCGCACGACGACGAATATCGCGATGAAAGAAAGAGACGGCTCCCGCGCGCGACATTACAGCCGCACGCTAAATGGTAGATCGATGCCACACGTGGCTGATCCTCATTCCAAGTGCGGCCGCGGAACGCGCGGCATCCCGAGCAAGGAAGATCACCGTTCGGCGTTTGTTATGCAGGAACCGGTCCGCGCCCTTTCGAAGATGCCGCACGTGCCTGATGTCTCTCTCTCTCTCTCTCGCTCTTGATTCGCGCGCCGGCACATAAATTTGTATGCACTACTGCGCGCGGTCGAGTGCGGCCGCATCGCCGGAATCCTTTCGCGCGTTTGCCTTGCCGGCGATACTATGACCAGCATTAGTAGCGCTACGAACCACAAAGTATGTCGATTCAAGATAATGGTCGAGTCACCGTGAGATCACGCAAAGGAATGCAATTTCATCTCTCTCCTTTCTGCATCCTTAAGAGAGAAGGAGGGGGGGGGGAGAGAGAGAGAGACAAAAGTCTCGCTTATTCTCTTCTTTAGAAACTTAGGAAATTGTTCATTAACAGTCACACGCACGTAGGTATATAATTTAAACATAAATATTACGGGTCTCTCTAATGAGCGAATGATAAAGAAATTCAAGCTTCAGCGGGTCTTTGTAATACATTTCGCGTGTCGGTAATCATTTTTAATTTTCTTATCCGTTTTATTACGTTGGAAATAATATAACTCTGGAATATCATTGCAGCCATGCCCCTCGGATTTACATTCCATTCACATCTCGCACGCCGAAGTACTGGTTAATTATTCATTAGTTAAATTTTAAACCGAGCTCTAAACGACTAGCACGTCAGATGCCGGTTTCCCAGATTATAAAATTCATTTTCCGAACCAACGGCCACGGTAGTGCATTCGCCGCGTTATTTCTTTATGGTTTTGCAATTTTTAACTAACTTTTGTTGCGAAACAACCGTTACAATAACGCACGATGCAGAATATTATCCGGTATAAACACTGGGCGTTATAATTTTTTTTTATTTTCCCGTCCTTGATTTGTAGTCTTGCGCCGTCGTGATATTCAGAACGTCGTTTCGCGCGAATATTGCGACAAGCGGCATCTTGTCGGATCGTCGCTCGGGAGAAATCGATTTTGAATGCCTCGTAGAATCTGCATGATGTCGAGACAGAGACGTCCTATAACGAGAACGCGTGACGGCGCGGAAGCGCGGGAGGACCCAGTAAAATCAACAGAGGCAAGGCTGACCGGCTGGCGGGCTGTTTTAATTTCCCAGGCTACTTTCTGATCGTCGGTGGGAGCATACCAGTCTGTTCCAAGATGGATGAACGACTCGGAACGTAGCGAGCGAGACGAGAGACCAGGGAACGGCGGAGAAAAAGCGCCATGATTTTTGCCCTTCCTCGCGATCTCTCGTACAACGGCAATACGACGAGAGATACACGCGAGATAAAAGATACGTGATGTTACGCGCGATACGTGACACGCGATCATGCACGCGAGTAGTATGTTCGACAAATTGTATTTAATTATATATGTATTATTGATATTTATGATCGCGCGGAGAAAAGAGAAAAAAAGCCTTTCGTTAATTTTCCGTCTGTCAAATATTTTCGTCAAGACGACAGGATGAAATAATTCGCGAGATTACATGGGAATACACGAAGTAGCTAAAATTTTTTTTTATGTAATAATTTGGGCTTTGACGGAAAGAATTTGGTGGGAGGGCTGATTAAACAGTGTTGCATTTCAGAGAATTATACCGGAGCTTGGAACTATTCGCCTGTAATGTATATAATCTCGTCCTTAAAATTATCCCTGGCATACAATTTCCCTGTATCCGCGCTAAATCCGCGGATGTACGATTTAATCCGGTACGCTTTGGCCGTCCATGCACGCATTGGTTGGTTTCGAATCCGGTACTCGTAATTATTTATCCGTCGAAAAAAGAAGGATAACACAGGCCGTATTTCCTATTAGACAGTAATACTCATGCGAATTTACGGGGAATTAACGTTAGAGAAAAAATGAGAGAAAAATGCATTAGCGCTTCTTTATGCATTTCCGTGCGTCGGATACACACGAATCTATGGCGCGTGGGAAAAATTAAGAGCATTTGCGGAAGATTTCTGGAACTTTACATACATACACACGCCAAATACGTGGTTTCGCATGGAACGATGGGCTGCGGAAAGAGGGAAGCTCGGAACATTTTCTGGGATGCAAGGAAACCCCTATAAGCCAGTGGCGTAACCGTGAGAACATTAAGTAAAACGGTTTGGAATAAAACGGAGTAATGAAGTCGTACGATAATAACGAAATGGCAGTCGCTTTTGCGATATTGCAAACAACGCTTATTTGCGAGAACAGTGATGCGTGTATCTCGTTTGCTTCGATAGAACCCTTTGCGGAGCGTCCAACTGGACGCGAGATCGAAAAGTTTTGTACATTGAAAAAAAATGCTACCATTCAAATAATTTACTTGATCCAAATAAAATGGCTTTTCCAATACTCCTTGGAAAATATTTACTAGAAATAGGAATATAGATGACTGAAATGAATGAAATATATAATATGATATTTCCTTCATATAAGTAGACATTTACTTGTATATGTTAAAATAATCACGACTAGTATTAAGTTCATAATATTGAGAATATTAGAATTTATTTTTTGAAAATATTTACTGGACAAAAAAATTGAAATTTAAAATCACTATACGGAGATATCCATTTAATCAATTCAAACAAAATGTTTGTTTGGATATGGGTTTTGAATCAAACCTTTTTCATTTTTATTTCAAAGAACCAAATTTTAACTCTTACAGCCAAAATATTTGTTTGCCCATATCCAAGCAAGCATTTGAGTCAACTAAATAGGTTTCTCACAGTGTAGGTTTCTTCAGTGGAAAAGAGAAAAGTATTACATAATTCTAATAAATATAAATTAAATTTAGAACCATTTTACACTTACATTCAGTAATTTACTTATAAATTCAGACATTACTGTGTTCAAGTAAGTATTTACTACAAGCTATTAAAATATACTTAAATTGATAAAAATATTACTCGATTTAGGAGACTGAAAACAGGTAATTACATTTACTTGATTGTAGCTTTTTTCTGTAAATTCGCGAGTCGCAGTGCAACGCGATGCAACTCCGAGAGCTCGTCGTTTTCGGCCAATCGATATACACCGTACGTTTAATTTCTACGATGTCGCGAAATTCGAGTCGGAGGATTAAGAAGAGCCTTCCGGTTACGCTACTGCCCGCAGCTGTTGCCCGTCTCGAAGGCGAGCGAAACGGAAAGAGTGAGGCGTGCCGGGCGACAGAGCGCCCGGTGAGGTAACGAATTGCAAATTAATAGCGAGCATTTACATTTCTGCCGGCGCGATGAAGGCGCGCGCGCGCGAGGATCGAAAGTCGCAGGCACAGCGACGGCTTGGTTTTCCGCTTTTCCCATCGCGGCCTCCTTCGACGCGAAGCGCGCCGTCATATACATGTAAATCCTCGAAATTTCTTGCAAGATTTATCCCTCGCCGATGTTCGAGATGTTTAAAAACTTGTGCCGATGGCTGGATTAGGATTTCTACACAAATTTATCACGCTTAGTACTTTTCGCAAAACGGCTAATACGTCATGATAAGTGTCGCGATTCTTTTGCTTAATATTTTTGTAAAAACTACAAGGACAAGTAAAGTACTTCTCGAACGATGTTCGATATTGATTTTATATTATTTTTATCCATTTACGGGAAATTATTCTTTTGGTACATCGAGCATAATTATATATCATTAAAGAGAAAAAAATATATAAATGCATTATACAATTTATGTTTTAAAATAATCTGACAATTTTTCATAATGATGATCATTTTTAAATAAGATCGTGATATAAAAGCACCTAATTCGATCATTTTCAATTACTCACAAACTGTTTGTTATATGAGAAAATATTTCGAACAAAAGTCGTATTGTATCACGGAGGACATACAGTATAATAATTAGTTTTTTTTTGTAATTGACTCACTCTGTATAATAAATATCAACTATGCTACTAAAATTCGTAAGCAAACATAATCGACTGGTTGTTTTAAATCTATTATATAGAGTGCAGCACTTTTACATGAAAAAGTTGATATTTTCTAAGAAATCTAGCGGGAATATTAAATGCAAGTATCTTCAATAATTCTGGACAATCAACCAGATCTCTCAGAATTTTAAACAAAACTGGAAGGATAGAAAAGGGGAAGAATGAAATTTCAAACGAAAAGTAAAATATTATCTATGACGTACCGATACACATTTTATCGCATGTGTTCGCTATATACTTAAACCAAAAGAATTCATTTAACTTTTTCATCTGCTCGAAATTACCTTTCAAGCATTGTCGTCTCGTTAATTTTCAAGCAGAAACGTTTAACACGAACTGTCATTCGCGGATACTTTCGCACATTTGCACGCTGTGGGGAAACGGTCATCGCGTGTACCTGCTCCGCCGATCGATGATCGTTAATTGCGAGCCGTGAAAGCGAAAGAGCTCGCATGGAAGGGGACGAAAAGTGGCGAGGTGAACTGGGGTTTGGAAGGTACCGATATTGAATTAGAAGCGATAAATCCCACCCTGCCATGCCGACTTCGGTATTGGGGGCAAGAGTGCGGGCACGGCGGAATAAGGGGCTCGACGAGAACTTCGACAGGCTGGGCGAGAACGGCGATAAAGAAAGCAGTGAAACGAATATTAAAAGTCGAAACCGATGCGATCGGGCGGGCCAATCAGTCTCCGGCTCGCCACGACCTGATTCGGGAAAGGACACTCAACATGCTTCTTCGAATTCTAATCCGTCAGATTTCAACTTTAACCTCACGCTTTCGATACGCTCTTCAGTCTATTAATGCGTTAAGTTTCAACTTTACGATAGTTCGGGTTATGTTTTATGGAGGGAGCTTCATTGATCAAAGAGATCCCAAGTTGAAATTCTGACGCCTTTAAGGATAGTTTGCGCCTACTTAGATGGCCTACAAACTAGTTAAAACTTACTTTGACGATATTGTACTTGGGAACTTTTCTCTTGAACCTTTAATTCTACATTGAAAAGTGTTACCATTCAAGTAATATTTATTTGATCCAAGTAAAATAGTTATTCTAATATTTCTTGGTAAATATTTACTAGAGTTAAATATAATGGACTATATATATATATATATATTGAAAGACAGATGTTTTATTGAAGCGCGTGTTGTAGAAATTCAAAATTTGACATCAAGATTACGATTCGGGATTATCGAACAACCCCAAAGCAAATATGTGTATACCTTTTAGGCACAAAAGCAGGCACATATCTGCGATTTGCGATCTCGACAGGGAAGAAAAATGAATAAAAGTACTTACGTTCGCAGAGCTGCGTGCAGTTCCTCCGGTCCAACGAGTCTGCTGTTCTGGAGGCCGTGGGGTTGGTCCCGTCCGGCGAGTCCGTCGAGGTCTTTGGGGAGCACGGGGCGAACGGGATCGGTGGCGGTAATCAGTGCTCCGTTCATTACACCATGCGGTCGAATTCTAATCCCGGCGTTGGCGCCATTCAGCACGCGGCCAGCAACGCCGCGGGCGCGTTGCACCATTATCCTGGCGCCGCTCATGCACCGAAACGCCGTGCCTCCGACACCCCGTGAGTGAACACGTACCGCTTCGAATTCGATAGACCTAAGGCAATGGTTCTCAACGTGAGTCATGAGTTCGCGAAGATGGAAGGTGGCGGGTGAATGTAATTATAGGGCATCGCGATATTATTTTCAGCGACACTTGACTTCAGTGGGATTTTTTTTCAATTAACACGTTTCTGTGCTACCGGCGAATGTCATCAGCGTATGCTTGGTTGACGTAATCGATCCCTGTGATAGATCGATACGTGTATATATCGGCTAACCTTTCCGATACGTTTTCTTTGAAATTATTCAAACTAGCGTGACCTGTAGCGAGACTCTGTAAAATTTAACGTGGTAGCGAACGTACCAGTAGTGACCTTTGAGGGATAGGGGTGAATTGCAGTTAACAATGCTCGCAGAGCGAAGTCATAGAATAAAAAAAAAAACATTGAAAATCACTGGCCGAGGGAAAAAAACGTTATTATCGATCCGCCGCGAGATCACCGTTGGACAAGCTCCTCGTGATAGTCTTGCGATGAAATGGTCGACTTGAATAATAGAACGTCCACCTTGCCGAAGGCGAATCCAATCCTCGCGTACTTGGAAAATCGCGCGGACGGTCATGGCAAATGCTACTGTGAAATTATTTTTACGTTTAGTATATTGTCCGTTATCATAATTTAATAATATCGAGCAGCCAAAATAAATGGATAATTTGTCAAACAAGTAAATTCTTCGGGCGAGTGCAGATTTACATCTAGAAATTCGTATGTTTCCTTTCGTAATTTTGTTTTTCGAAACCTACCACTTGTATGTTATTAAAATACGTGGCATGTAATATTCTTGTATTTCTTCACAATTTACACGTTAAAGAATATTTTGTAGTGTAAACGAGTCGTTCGTTGATTAGAATGTAAAGTATGGAATGTAAAGATATCGTAAGTGAAAAGATTCAGACACAGTTAAAGGAATAAGGAACAAATAATCAAATATTAAGAATTAGGAATAAGATATTAGGAATAAGCTATAGTTGAAGACATAATGAAAAAAAAATAGGGAACAAAATATAAAAAAGTTTTAAAACGGGGTCGTCCCACTCTTTTATTATATATGCATAGATGAAATAATCGCCATCTGTCAGGATTGAAATTTTTGGAGCCCATTTTTTCCGGAACGGTAAATCGCTGCACCTTAAGATATATATAGATATATATATTTGCGATCAGTACAATTGTGATGAATACTTTAATCTGATATCAAAATTGAGTATAAAATCGAGTGGGAAAAAAATGGGGAAAATTACCTATGGACGTTTGGCCGCATTCTTTACTTCCCTGTTTTTAATTCCTTAATAATTCTCTAATATTTAATTCTTTGTTACTTATCCCTTTCATTGTGTCTGGAGCCCTAACAATCTCTAGTATTTGCGCACTGATCATCGGAATAACAGACGCAACAACTTTCTCTTCGGGTATAGTCGACGGAGAGGAATAGCACAACAGGGGGCGTATAAATTATTGCGCAAATTGCTCCTCGCACGGCAAGATCGCACGGAATCTTCGTTCGTCCATAACGATAATTCACGCGGTAACGAACGCCACGCACCTGCGCGTACATGCGTACCTACTACATTTGCCAAGCCGCAAATGCGCCGTCGTTTCGAAAAAATCTTGGCCGCCGGCCTGCATTTCTCGTCGATATTTATCGCGATCTGGTGCCTATTATCGCGAAATTGCCTCCGCGACCGTTCAACGCCTCGTCGATATTGATAATTCGCGAAAGCGCCTGCGGTACGTTAAAAGAGGCCTTCGGCGACCTAAGATGATCGAAGGTTCGCGCGATTCATGCATGTAAGACTCGCCAGATCCAAAAATATCCTTCTGAGAGACCGATTTTTCGGCAAACCACGAATTTTCCCCCGCGTGTTGGACTATCGACGTTTTTCAAGCTGCAGACGGAGAACGGTGGGAACGGAGGGTTCTTCGCGAATTGAATCGTTTACACGTTTCCACACATACACACGCACAGTGCAGTGCAGCTTCGATGGAAAAAATATAGAATCATCGAGACGCCTTGATACTCGCGCTCCGCGTTTCATTTCTACTGGCCGCCCAAGTGTTGATGAAATCAACGTCGGACGGTCGAGGATTTCCGGTCAGGATGATATGCACGTCGACGGGGCGGGAGGAAAGGGAGGCCGCGAAGCGAATACGAAGGCGACAAAACGCGGTGTGCTCCCCGGCAATGCCACCCTGGCCTCCTCTCGATATGTCTGCCGGTGACGTTTCCATATATCATCAGAGCACCACCTTTCCCGAACACCCCTCGTCGTGCAGCCTGCTACCTCTTCGCCCCACGAGTACCGCGAACTTGCTTCGAGTGCCTATCGGCATCCTGCTAATACACACCGCATCGCAACGCACACGTCTCATGTGAATGTGGGTGTACGCACGTACACACAGACTGGCGTCTTTGCTCGACTCCCGCGCTGAATGCCCAAATAATCCGCCGCGCGAAAGGGTTGCGCACGATCCGGGGATCGAGCGTTCGAAGAGTATTCAACGATTAAAGCCGGTATTTACAGTCGAATCTTGTCTCAAGTTCATCTTCAGACGATTTGTAGCCAATGAAAGGAGACGTACAGTATCTGAAGAAGAGTATAAGACGATTTCGAATATAAAACCTGACTATAAATATCGGTCGAGAAAATTGCCGTAAATTGCTCCTATGATTTTCTCGCGTGTCTCGCGTCTCTTAACTTTTCCAGATTCCTTGACTGACGAAGACCGCTGTATTATTTTTTTCACAGCTAAATTCGACCACATCGGCAATTTTCGCGCTTGTCTCTTAACGTTAGCAATCCTTCTTAATGCTCTTCAGGTATTACGAGAACGGAGCCCTCTTGGACGACATGCCGGTGTATGGCAAGAGGCCTACCAATCCATGGAGCCATCACCATCAGCAACAACAACAGCCTCAGCAGCCGACGGACCCATATTGCTGGTACCATCCGCTGCATTCTTCGAGCGGATCGATTCAAGGTCACGCGCACGGCCATGGCCACGGGCCGAGTCCAGTGCCGCCTAGTCTCGTGCAGATTAATCAGATAAACGCGTTCTCCGGACCGCATCATCTGACTCAGCAACCGCAGCAGCCGATGGGCCACGGTCTGCAGACTCAGAACGGCGGCAGCCTCGACGATGAATGGAAGAACATTCACGTGATGCTCAATTGCATCCTCGGCATGGTGGAGAAGACGAAGAGAGCGCTGGCGATCCTTCAGCGACGAGGATGCTCCAGTCCGGCGGCGGCGGCACCTCCACCAGGTGTGGTCGCGGCACAGAACGGTACGAGTAATAACAGCAACAGCAACGGCAACAATCCCTCGTCGACCAACGGCGCGCAGGTCGAGTCGTCTACCGGCGATCGGGATGGTAGCCTGAAGCGATTGTCCGGCGAGATCGTCGCGCAGACGATCAGGGCGACCGAGGACAAGGTGGCTGAGGTCAAACGGAGAGCCGGTCGGTATCTCGGACATATTATTTTACGTATGTCCTCGGTTGTATCGTTTTGCACTGTTGTATCACGAATATCGCTTTAAAATTTCGGAGAAAACTGTTTCTCCCTCATTTTTCCGCAGATTTTTCCGGTTTCTATCTCGAAAACGCACCGAATTTAGAACAGTTAGTTTACAAAAATTCACGTGCGTTCGGTTAAACCCTGTCACGTTTACTTTTTACCGTAAAAAAGATAAGAAATCAAAAATGTTCGTCCTGCTGAAATTTTGTTGAGCCTTTTTCTTGTGAAAATTAAAGTAACAAATCAGCGGTAATAGTTTATTTGAAAATGCTATTTTATACTGTGAGTGTTAAACTTTTTAAATTACTGTAGATCTTGCACCAATTTCTATCCTTTGTCACTGAACCGCGTAAAAAAGTGGTCGTTGGATTAAGTTGTTCTACGAACCGAAATATTTAAATTTATTCGTCTTTGGTATGTCGGTTTTGAAATATTTCTCAATTGCTTCCAGGCGAACTATACGGGCTTGCATTATCATTTGATTGAATAATTATCTCAATCTTTCACAGAGATCGTTCTCTCGTGTCCTATTACACATTTCAATCTCATTCATATATAAATAAATAATAACTGGATGCCTGGTTCTATCGAAATCTCTAGAGGAAGCTGTGTTAGAAGTGAAGAGGGCCGCAGTGGCAGAGATGCAACGTGCCGTTGCAGTTGCGGTCGCAGAATCGAGAGCGAATGAGCGTTTGAGGGTTCACCGGTTATTAGATCTACCGCTTTCCCAAAGGAACCACGGCAGTCTCCGCCAAGGACCTTTCCTGAGGGTTCACGGGAACTCGAGCGCGGTCGAGACTGGCGCCAGAAATGTGACGACGCCGACGACCACACCGAATTCGGCGGCGTCGACCACCGAAGATGAAAAGGACATTCACCTCACCAACATGATGGGATCCGTAAGTGCTATCGCATGCTTATAACGCTGAGTTTCAATTTCTTGCCATTAAGTTTTCATCTGGTATTCTGTTGCAGGAATTGAATTTTTCTTTTTTCCGTGTGGATATTCGAATTAATGTTGAACTATCGAAATAGTAATAGGAATTCGTGGGGATGGAGAAAATTAAGGACGAATCTTGTCTCTCTTACAGACCTGCTGGAACTGCGGCAGGCCCGCCTTGGAGACTTGTGGCGGCTGTGGAATCGCCCGGTACTGCGGCTCTTTCTGCCAGCACCGCGACTGGGAGGCTGGCCACCACGCGACCTGCAATAACCCACCGCCGCGCGAACCACGAAGATCGTCCTCGCGCAGCCCACCGAGGGTCGCCGCCGCGAATCTCCCCGCGGCTGTCAACGAGGTCGACGCCGCGCCAGTGGCATCCGCCGGCGTCTCAAAGGGGAAGTGACGTCGTGGTGCGAGAAATAACCTGGGCTTGCGATCAACCAGATCGATCGACCACTAGTCGCGCTGACCGCGCGCGCGCGTTTCCACGAGGACTCTTCGCTGTGAAAAATGGATGAATTGAAACGAATCGAGAGGAATCAATTCCTGTGAAATCGAGTGCCTGACGTTCAAATCCGGGATTGGTTTGGGAATGTTAGATTTTTGTTTGCGCTTCGGCAAGATTCACGGAGGATTATTCAAGCTATTCTACCGACTCCGAATTTGGAAAATTAGTGATTCTCGCATTCACAAGATAAATTTTTATCCATTCTTTCTAATTCATCTATTTTCTACAGTGTCTTTAACGATCATACATCTTCTGCGTACTCTCATTGATGTGTCCTTTCTTTCTACGAAACCGACCCCGGAAATTTCCTTCGTAATCCATTTGGAAACATGGATGAGTCCAGACAAGAATCTCTCTAGTTTAATGTATCTGTGATTATTCGTTTTTCAGCACGGGGAAAAAGGATTGGTTGAATTAACGTGATAATGAACGAATCAAATATATTCTCGCTGAAGGAAACAGAATTTCTGATCCTAAGAATCAAATTTAGTCCATAAGAATTAGAAATTCTGCTTCTTTTAACCAAAACACACTCGGTTCGTTCATTGTAACATTAATTTAACAGATCTTTTTTCTCCGAGACAAACTCAATGGTCGCACTAACTACCGATTAACTGATTTTGATAATCAATTGTCCGTTGAATAGGTAACATCTCCAATTGCAGTGTTTCAGTCAGGTGATAAGAGTCACGCAATGGCAAATAAACAGAAACTTACAACTGTCGTAACTTAATCGGACCTTTAAAAAAAAAACATGAATCTCCAACTGATCGATCGGTTTTGACACCTCAGCGATTATCTTAAACATTAAACTGAACGATGATACTCAGAACACATTAAGAAGACATGTAAAAGAGATCGGAGCATCTTACGAGGCTATGTTTAAAATTCACTTTAAACTGCCGGCCTTGGGCTAATGGCCAAGCGCGCGGTCAGTGTCAAAAATGCACCAACATATAGATATGCAAGCAAACTTCTTAACTAAGTCGATTATACGCCTCGGATGAAACGTCGGGCGTGATAAATGTGCTTTAGGACTTTATCAATTAATCACGCAAAATGAGCAACTGATTTCACGTCAAGTAGCGTAACCGACCACATAGGTGTTTGCGTTTTCCGGATAGATAGCACCGGCGGAACAGCATGCGGAGCACTCGTGAATGTACACATTTATCAGCATCGTACCAGCCGCTCTCTCCTTTTTCTCTTCTAACCGGATTTCCAATCTATTCATTACCTAGAATTATATCAAACAATAGGAATAATGCGTGTCTTAAGCGTTTTCTGCAACCGAAGGAATAATAGGTATCAATGAATTGGATCAGTGAATCGCAGCGGAGACGCGCGTTTCGTATTGTTCCGAATCGACATTAGCGGTAAATGTAGCATTACGAAAATAACTCTCCCACTAGTGTAGATGTATCTTCATTTTGCCGTTAGCAGGTCGAATTATTCGCAACGCGAAGCCGAAGAACACGCTCGTCCGATTAGCAAACTCTGACGTGACTTAGAGAATGCAATTGCATCTTTCGCTCGCTTGTAACGATTTGGAAAAGCACGGGACTTTCACTGTCGTTCATATCGGTTGAATCTATGAGATTCATAAAATTATAATATTACACGAGTTACTTTCTCTTTCTCCTCTTTTTTTACTGTCAAACAATCGTTTACTATGTGTTCTTTTATCTGAATGTAACTTCTTACCGTGTGTCTCAATACTACAGCGCAAAATATCATTATGAAAATAGGATGTATCGCAAGATGACACTCATACATACTTCTATATGGCACACACACACACACACACACACACACACATACACACAAGTGACTTGATTTTATTGCGTATTTACGCTCACTTCGATGTTTCGTACACGAAAAACGAATCACATCGATCTTATCCTAGTCAATTGATAGGTTTAACGATTGTAACGACTAATGTAACGCGAGTCGAACCCTTTACTTTGCGCGCACCTCAGGATATAATTACCACGTATATTTAAGTCTAGTCACGATGAAGATAAAGCGGTTTTATCGTCGATTGTACGCGTTAGGGAACTTTGCTCAAATCTATAGACTACGAATTATTGTAATTTTTCTTAGACACATTGCGTTGCGGGGATGTATGATGAATCCTATAAAGTGTATTTATAAACTAACGAAATATATGATTATTCTATGTCAGAATGTAAGAAAAAAAAATAATACCAAGAGCTTCTTTTTTATTAAACATCCTACGGTTATATTAGAGGAATGTGAGATACAACCGGATTCGAATTGAATCGGATAATCATTTATTTTCGTGGGATAACACCAACATAACGTAAAACTCTAGAAGCTTGATTGCTATTCGATAAGATACCGTGCGCACTCTTAATGTATTAATTTTTAACAGCATATCGCGAAATTCTGACCTGTGAAAGTACACGAGTATATAATTGATTTATATAACGCGTCCTATTTTACTTTATTCTATATTTGAGATCAAAGATCTCCCCGTTTTCCGCAGATAAGAACGAACATTTGATATTCAATGGAAAAAATGACACATTGATTGGCATTCATTCAACAAATATGTATAAGCGTGTAAGAACGGGTGTTGAAATATTTTAGATTCATGATTTTTCAGAAACATTTCCAATAATATTTGCAAACAATGCTCTGGTCTTCTCCTGTTTTCCTTGCGACTCCGACCACTCTTTCTTACTTCTCTGGAATAACGATAGGTTCAGCTTCGTGAAGATGATCCTGCCCGATTTGGTCAACCGTAAGGACTCCCCAGCTGCAGCTAACTCGTCCATAATGAGGAGTTTATGATTCATACGCGCCCATGCCCACACCTTATCCAAGCATCTAGATCCGTGGGTGCTTTTGGCTAATTCCGCCCAGGTATCGCGTAGCTTCTTGAATAATTTCTCGCAACTCTTCTCGCCGATATATTTGCTATCCATGAAGGCGTCGAGAATTCGACTGCCTTTCGGGTCACCGAATAAGCGCAGTAACTCCTCGTTGTTCATTTCCAATAACGAGTTTACGATCTTGATGGGTTTGTTGAACTGCAGCATCGCTTGTATCATCAGACTGCCATGTAAGTTGAAAGGTGGTTGTTGGTCATTTGGAAGATCTTTCAATTGAGCCAGACTCTTTAGAGTCACCGTACATGGAACGAGCTGCATTTGATCTTGTGTGGATGCGCCGCATTCCAGTAACTTGATTATAGCACTGACAAATGCACCTTGTTTTATCTGCAACCTCAGACATGCATTTCCAGCGCTGGCCAGTATCCCAGTGAAACCTTGCTTGAGAATTTCCGGAAAGTATTCCGACACTTCATCGAATATCATCTCCAGTTCCTCTTTAGTGCTGCAATGATCCAATAATTTTTGCACACTGAAATTGGTACTTCGTGTCAAGCACAAGTGTTTTAAGTTTCCGGCAAAGAACATCTTATATAGTTTCTTGAAGCTCTTTGGTGTTGCCACCATCAAACAAACTTCTAATATCCTGATGGAACATTCTGTGTTAAATATATCCGATAGTTTCCCATCTTCTCCTGGTTTAAAACATTTTTTGCTAATCTTTGTGATGATGATTTTCGTTAAATCTGAATCAACGTCTTTCAATGAATACAGGACACATTGTACTAAGCCAGAAGTAACTTCATTTTGTCCAAATTCAAGAAACTGCGGCCATTTTTGTAGTCGATCACAGCATTGTACCAGCAGATCACTATATTCCTGTACCACAGGACGTCTGCTTGCAAGACATGGCATAGATTTCTTATTATCTTCGCTGTCAGCATTCTCAATTAATCCTGCCAGGCACTCTATGACAGTTCTTAGAACATGATTAGCATAAGTATCAAATATAAATTCTTCCATATTATTAACATAGTATCTGCTCAGCTTTAGCACTATGTCGTTGTAAATCTTTACTTCAGCATATTTAACTTCTATGACAGCATCAGCAGCACCATCTTCTGCTTCTGTACTTGTTTTATTTATGGTAGTCTTCTCTGTCGTTGATATATTGGATATCCTGTTGCCTCTGTCAGCGCAAACCATTATTATCTTCTGCAAGACGTGACTGGCAAATCTGTTGCTGCTTAATTTCCTCAGAGAGGACTCAAGTGCCTTCACCAACCTCTGAATGGTCTCCAAATTAACGTACTTTAGCAAAGAATCCATGACACGTGAACCAACCTGGTTTTGTGCATATTCAATTTCATGGCCTACAGTTTCCTGGTAGACGTTTTGCACATACATCAACTTCTCCTCAGACGTAGGAAAGCCTGCACGCATCAACTCGAGAACGCGAATCAAATATTGATAGGTGTCTTTGTCCAGTTCGTTACCGCTTGACCTTTGGCGAGCGAATTTCTTTGCCATTTGCATGTGAGAACGCTTCTTCTTTCGTTTCTTCCCAATAATCTCGTGTGATTCCGCCATATTTTTCGAATTAATGACCAAAGTATCCAGAATTTAGAAGAGATAACGATGCTTGAAGAGGTTAACTTAATTAAACCTACACCACGTGCATCGCACTTGTGTTACTGTCTCACGTGGTTATGAATAATGATAATACTGATGGAGAAACGAGTAAAGTAATTGCCACGGTGCAATTCACCGAATTGTCTGTAGACACTATTTACTAGCAGATTATCTTCAGCAATCTCGGAAAAGGTTCAAACACAATTTATATATCCGCGCCATAAACTTTTCTTGTCTGTCGATTACTGGTTAGTAGAGGTTAAGTGCCTTTAACCTCCTACATACATAGTTCGTTCTTTTTAGATGCACTGCTGTGCCAGTGTAATAAATTAAAGCGAGACAAAATATACTTGTCTCATTTTAATCTTATCACATCAGTTCTTTCTAGAAATTTTTCATCCGACAGCTAATCAATGCATTCAACAAATTCGTCATAAGACAAATAAGACACTAGGCTAAACGCTGAATTAATGCATATCACTGCAATGTTATCGATGATCGGAATGTCAGTATTCTATAATTTTCGTGTCTCTCGTTTGTTGAGCCACATCGATGAGTGTTACTTAATTTAACGGTTTCACGGGAATGTTACGTGATTGCCGGCATTTGGAGGCATATTTTAAATTTCATATATATCGTTATAGGTTAACCGTCTAGATACTTATATTAGATAATCGAACGTATAAAAAATGCTAAATCTAAAAATGATTTTCGAGGCCTCGAATTGCTGCTTTTTAATGACATATTGTCGATGATAATAATTCGGCAGTAGAAGTACACATTAGTGCAGAATAAAAGCTTCTGACTTACCGAGACGCAAAAACGTAGCGTAAACGCTGGATTTCGAAATATTTGTTTCATCATTGTTGCAAACGCATCATATTTCTATTTTGCGTTGAGCATTGGTTGTAACATCGAAAGAATCGCGTTCAATCGTAATAACGTGGACCGATTAACATATTTAAGCCATCACCTGTCACTTAATTCGGTACTATCAATACTAGTCGGCACACGGAAATTACGCCGGGTAAAAAGATACAACGCGGAACAATCGCAACATTCGACATGAAGTGCCGCGAGCATTGCGTGAGTGTGAACGGATCATCGTGATTGGGTGGCTACGTTTCGATAATCTTCGAGAATCGCAATCACTGAGGCCCGTATTAACAGTTGTTATTTTAAACTCATCTTAATGTGAGATTTTAATTCAAAGTTAGGTCTATGCTTTTCAGTTGAACCGTATAGTATATTTGACATTATAATTGTAAATGCTATTCAATTGGAAAATTCACGTCTAACTCTGAATTCAAATCTGAGTATCTCATCTGAAACGAATTTCAAGTAACAATTCTTAATACGAGTCTGAGATATGCAGCTACCATCAATCAAGAGATGGATAGCGGAGTACCTTGGCACGAATCTGAGAAGCTGTTTCATATTTCGCATGATAATGATTTCGTATGATTTCGAGTCACTGATTAGTTTCGTGTGCGAAATATCGTCGCCGGGCGGGCCGAGGGTAAGTACGTTATGGAAAATATCGTTAAGTAAACGTCGAAAATATCTCGGGTCATCGGGAATGTCGAGTAAAGTTTCGTGCGTTCGTTGTATTATGATAGCATCGAGTTTAAACCGCACCAAGTAGTATAAGTTAGTTTCATGTACATACTTTGAACGTATGTTTCACAGTCGTATTACATACGTTTAAAGAACAATATGAATAATGAAACTAACTACCTGCTACCTGGAGTAAAGATTACAAAGATTACTTGAACACATGTTTACCGAATCCTCGTTGAAAACTTCATTTTCGACTGGAGAATAAGATACGTCACGCGGTATTACGGTAATTCGAAATTTGTATCATCGGACTGCTGCTCTTCACGCCAGAACACGCTAACGCTTCGACTCGTCAAAGGATCATCATTAGAAGTGTCGGCCGAAATGTCACTCGTTTATTATGTTACGATGGTTAGTTAGTTATGTTCCGACGTCTTGCCGGATAAAAGTCACTAAGTACAAAATACAGCACGCTTGTGAATATTACATGTCGAGTCGTACCTGAGCAGCATAAATCTGTTGGCTAACCGTTGCCCAACGTTAGTCAAATGTTAGTAAACCAAATTGGTTAATAAAAAGTAAATCAAACAAATAAAAATAAATTATAAAGTGCGAGAAACATTATTGTATTTTTTAAAATTCTATAGGCTCTAACTTGAAATAAATATTAAACATTTCTTTTTGTAATGCGTTTCAACAATTGCATTTCAACAAATGCGTTTCAACAATTGATAATCATATTTATAATAAAATCATATTTTCTTTAAATACATGATTAATATTATGTATCCATGGTTATTATTCAATGCGTCTTTTACGGCTTGACAGGCCATCTATAGGGAATTATTGATGAATATAGTCGATAAAGTAAGCGCTCTCCAATTATCCATTGAACTCATTCGTAGTCGTGGAACTTTAATTAGGAGCGATAATTTTTAATAATACCATGTTGGAATTACTTGATATGAATACAAATATTTGTTTACGTTTCGTTTTAATAATATCTGATAGATATCCTTAAAAAAATCTTCTTCAAAATTGTACGATGTTTTTATGATGGGAACTTCTGATTTATCTTCAGTGGTAATTGAACGCTTTTATCGACATCTCGTTATCGACAGCTTTTTATGAAACTACTGGTAACAAGTTATCACCCGTAGGTTAAGTAATGGTTACTGTAAATAAACCATAAGCGTAATAAAAATAGACCGGGGCATAAGACGCGAAAACTGAAGATTAGATAGAAAGAGACAAAGAAGGTGCCGTGTTTTCTCTCTCTAATGAGGAAAGAGTGAGGAAAAATAGGGGGTAAGAAAGAGTGAGCAGACAGCTGAATACTCGATCGTTCACACAGTAGATAAAGTTATATAGTAATGAGAAAAGTAATAGTGTGTGAAGAATCGAACATACAACAACTGCTGCTCACTTTTTTTTAAACTCTTTCTCCCCATCTCCCCGCATCTTCTTTCTGTTCACTCTTTTTTCATAAGAGAGAGAAAGCTACACGGACCTATTGTCCGTTTCTTTCTATCTGATCTTCATTACTTATTAAAGAACATGCTGGGTCTATTCTTACTATGTTTATGAGATAAACTATTAAGACTTTCACATATGGATTGCCATAAGCAATAAGGAAGTTGATTAACCAAATATATTATTTTAAATTTATATATTCCATAAGACGATAGAAGTGAAGATAAATTTGGCCTTAAGCAGAAATAACTAGGATTTTAAACAGTTGAAATGCTAGTTATTTCTGTTCAAGGCCGAACTTATCCTCACTTCTATTGTCTTTTGGAATACATAAGACTAAAGAAATATATTGATTGGTTGATCAACTTTCTTATTGCTTACGGCAATCCATGTATGAAGGCCTTTATATATATAAGGCCATACATTCCATAAATTTCGTTACATGTTCTACAATGAGACATATGAATTAATGTTATCAATTTCGACTATCCGGGTAACCGAGTCTTTCAGTAACCGAGTATACAGTTAATTCCAGACGTTATTATTATTTGTTATCATTAAAAAACCAATAATTTGTAACCTGATCCTTCAGGTTTCCGCGGTGTGGGTAAATACATAATTTGACCCACAAATTAGCGCTGCGTCTTTCATAAATTTATTTCTGAACTAATCTTAAGTCGTTCCCCCTAAAGAAGTGAATTGAAATATTTACGAAACACTGAAAATACATCTATGGAAGATGCGGCATTAACTCAGAAGCCAAATCAAGTCAAATTTGTAACGTCTGAAATTAGCTGTATATTCAATTACTGAAATACCCGGGTATCCGGTAAGTCGGAAATGACAGCACTTATACGAATTTTTTTTCTGTATAATTTAACATGAGTAAAATTTCTGTGTATTTGCGGAACATTTAATATTAACGTCTAATAATATATTACCATTTCTCATTCCATTATTCGATATTGGATGTGAGAATATCTAGTAATATTTATATAATATGTACATATATAAAAAATAAAGAGGAAATATATGTAATAATATACGACGTGACACGCAAGAAGTTGCAGGATTTATTCATATATTTATACAACATATTTATACGTATAAAAAGAAAGAAGTCAAGAGAAATGCCAGGAAAGCTTGAATGACATTGAATGATTGACATGTGATGTTAATTGGCGTGTCACACATCAAGACACGTCCAAAACAATACTAGCCCTGCACGAGTATTAATTTTATGATCACACACGTAAATCACGCAAAGATTACTTGTGCACGAAAAGAAAAAAAATAGCTCCCACAGCTCAAAATTAGTTGCCTATATAATATAATTAAAATTTAATTACTAAACCTAGTTTTTAACTATGACAGCTGATTCTTTTTTTTTCATTTACGGCTATAGTCATAAGCATTAGTTCCCATAGTTAAAAACTAGGTCTAATAACAACATTTTAGTTTAATTAGGACAGCTAGTTTTTAGCTATGGAAGCAAATTCTTTTATTTCCGTATATACATATTTCCATAATAAATCTTGATCTAAGATTCCTCTTACATAAATGACGCGATAATAGATTCTAAATAATTCCGATGCCTGGAATCTCGGAAGCTCAGAGAAGGGAGCTTCTACCGTGACCGACGATATTTCTCATTATCCATTCTAATGCATCTCACGCGGTATGCAGTCATCCTTCATCTCGCGTCACTGCGCGAAAATCTGTGCCGGTAGAAACGGGAAGGTATTGTAGACGTACACGGGTCGATTGAATGCGAAGGAGTTGGCGATTGCCAGAGCCGGATTGGAGTCGAAATCGTCCTGCTCGCCTGGCACTGTCGTTGGCTCCCTGCTGCGAGGCGTCGTCGTGGTTTTTACGGTGGTCGCAACCGGCCGCGGTGTGGTCGTGCTGGTGAATAACGGGACGCGTTGGGTAGTCGCGGTATCCGGAGGTTCGTAGCTTTGTAATCCCGGGGTTCCGTAATACGCATGCAATCGATTGTTATTGGGATTAAACTGCTGGCCATTAGGACGCCACCCCCTGGGCTTATACCCCGATAAATCTGACGTCGCCGCCAGGCCGATATAAAGGAGAACGAGGATGAGCTGGAAAAAAAAAGACTCAGAGTCAGTTTATAAACCTGCGAGGCGATGGGCGCTCCGGCGGGCTCGCGGAGTTATACCCGGTTCGTTCATTCGTTTATCGAGCGGCCGTGTTCATTCGTGGTATATCGAAAATTGCAGTATACGCTTTTCCTGCTGTTTCTTTTTTTTTTTTAATCCATTCGACGCGTAATCTTGATCCGTCTGAAAAATATCGGAATCTTGAACAAGCGAGGAAATATCGGAATAGCGGGAATATCGGAAGTTTAATCTTCGTTTAATTAGATTAATCTTCGTTCAATTAGAACGGCTCATCATTCGGAAGCGTTTCACTTTGACGGACGTTTAACGTCACAAGAATTAAGAAGCCGTAGGAAACGTAACGGTCTGTCAGATTCGAGTTCGGGAAGAAAAGTCGAGTGCGCTGATATCGTAAATGGAAGTTTGTCGCGAGACGAGGAAGTTCGCGAGACGCTCCGTGTGAGACAATTAATTATATCGAGCGTCGTATCTCTCGCCGACGATGAATTAACACTCTCTCGCGGATTGCACTTGTGCACCGTCGCTACTACGATTACCCGGCAATGGTCTGGCGTTTCACATACACACACATATATGCACGCACACAGTGCCGGTGAACTCATCGGAGTGTCAAATTCGCTGTCGGTGTGTGAGCCGGTAGTTTCTTCAACAGCGAAGCACGTTCTTTTCTTTATACACAGATATCAAATAGAATACTCTTTTACCGTCTCCCTCATTTTCGTTCGATGTAATCCACTGTTGAGCTCGCACCGAAAAATTTCGGACTGGCCTTTGCCCAAGTGTCTGTCCCGTCTTTATATGCGAAGCGACGTGCGCCGGATCGGACGTCTAGGCTACGTGAATACGAAACAAGGGGCGAAGGAACGAAAACGATTTCGTTTCGTTGCTTACCGTTTCGTAATACGACGGACCCATATTACGTGTTAAGAATAGTTTCGTACAGCGAATTGACCGTCTGTCGTCATATTTTAGATACACGTCAGTTTTGTATCGAGCGTATCGTTCGATCGGTTCCGTTTCGCTCGGGGGAACGTTGGAATGATAGAAAAATTCTGTCGTAAGACGAACTGAACGCGCGAGCGTTGAAGTTTCTCGGTCTGTGTGCTCCGCCGTATGATCTTCGCATCTGAGTTTCCACAATGCTTGTTCTACAAACAGGCAGTGAGAATACGGTGTTACGTTACCGCAACGATAGCAGAATACATTTTGCGGCACGCTTCTCCCTGCATAGCAAATGAACGATTTGACGGTTTAATCGCCGATAAGCACCTCATTGAAATTAACGCGGTAAAACGGGCATTTTTTTTTATAAACATGAAATATGTATTCAAATTTATGTGCGGAATATATAAATTATCGCGTTTGTTCTGAGCGAGGCTGTCTATAATATACGAGCGACCGTCTCGTATCTTGTTTTCTTTTTGGCGTAAAAAAGTGAGTTTGTCGTTTGCAAGTGCATGTTAAACAGCTCTGATCCAGAGCTCACGAGAGACTGGAATTTAAATTAAGAAGCAAGTTGATTATTTCAGACGTTAGCGATCGGGAAAACGGAAAGACCTGTAATAGTAACGGAGCTCACGCGTTCTTCGCGTTCGTACTCCGAATCGACACTTTTCATCATCGCCTTTTCATTATTGGGTGTTTTAAACGTGGAAATGAGAGCACACCCATTGTAGCGGCGGCTTTTGCAATGTCTTACGTGAATTAAGGACGTGTCTGGAATTTAAGATCGCGTGCGACCGTAATGCATACCCTATGAATTCGCAAGATCGGCAGACGTCGTTCGCTCGCCTATACGAATTCGGTCGGTGTAATCCAGAAACGTGGCGCGCGAACTAATCGCCGGATTGACAGTGAAGTTGAGTGACAATGCTAATTAGAATTCTGACTGTCCCGTGTTTAGAACTTACCAACTGTCATTCGCTATCGATCCCACACGTATAACACCTCGTGATACGACACTTGTCTGCGAGATTTATTACTCATTCGTCGGTCAGAATATTTTTCGTCGTTGTATTTATTTCGTTTTAACTAATTACGGCAATCAACTCATTTTTTACGATTTATCTAAATAAATTAGACACCTTTTTTATACGGATGATCTCTTGTCTGCGACGGTCTTTTGGCGAATTTCGAATTTTCCCTTCGCGATTCAATTTTTGTAAAATGAAAGAGACATCGGTTTCCTTCATTTTGCCTCAAACAAGAGAGACGCCTGTGCGTAAAAGACGTTTGCTCGCACTTGCCTGTAAATATCTATCACAAGAAAGAGATTGGTCCTATTTGAGAAATTTCGTCCGTTGGACTGAACTGCTGAACTACGCTTTGCTCAAACGGAAAAGATAAATGGAAAAGGCGGCTGCGGTTCGCGCTATCACGCGGTTCGAAATCGAGATAACAACGCTGTCGCAGACAGACGGCACGAGTGTCGGTTTGATCGAAAGCATGAGATATAATAGCCCGCGTCGAGAACTTTTGTCCTTTGATTGAGTATATCAAGTATTCCGGTCGAGTAACAAGTGGTGGACGCGTCCGTCATGTCACGCGTCAAATGCAGCGTATTATGCAGCGTTCATTTCCATGGCTTTGTGTTATCTAAAAACAACGGCGAGGTGTCCTCCGCGTCGATAAAAGTTCCGCGCCGGTACTCGAAATGGCTTCTCCTATTCAACGATGTGCGCGTGGAATCGATACGGCGGAATTTTCGCATTTCTACGACGAGCTGAATATTTGAAGGCAGTTACCGAGATGAAATTTTTCATGTAAAATAAAAAATTAATAAAAGTATCATGTTTGTAAACTGTATGGATATTTAGTGGAACGAGAGGGAAATGATTAGAGGGAATAGAAAGAGGGAGGGAGGAAAGAATAAAATAGATAGATAGATAGATAGAAGAACGAGTTTTGATGGAAAAAAGTATTTCATTGTGATTGTTTTTCCAATGTGAAAAAGTGCTATTAAATAATAAATATAACATTTATTTTCGCATATAATTGCATATAATCTTGATAGATAGGCTTTGAACTTTGAATGAGTGACTTTTTGACTTTCGCGCAATATAACAAATATCGAGATTTTTGCAGTATTTAGTAACTTTTTATTTATCTATATTTTTTTAACGCTTTTCGTTTAAAAATGTATTTTGAAATTTTATATATACGAAAAAAGTTTATTCCATCAATATATGTCCGCATCTTGTTTGTATTGCTCATTCTACGTAATGTGATGCACGGTCAATATTTTTTAAAAACATTAGTTTAAAAACAAAACTTTGTCGATATTAAATTGAACTAACATTGAACGTTTGTTATACATGTATCCTATTATTCTGTATGGAACTGTCTAATTAAACATTTATGGTATATAGCAAAATGAGGGCGAAATGTTAATTTCGTACATATATAAAGAAGTTTTTGAAACAATTTTCTAATTACCTAATACCTAGGGAAATATGTGTATAAAGCTTTAATTTCAGCACGGATAAAATTCTTAATGCTTGTTCGTTCCTTTTTTTTTTAGAAACTGGAAGGTACTAAAATCCTTTCTCTACCATACTGGGAAATCTCGTTGAAATAATCTCATTCCCATTTTACGGTAGAGGCAATATCAATGTACGCCATGTTACCTGTTAGTAAGAGTTCCTTTCGGAAAAAAAATTTAATATACGGTTCCGTGATCTCGTAAAAAGTGAAGTGTGGCTTCCATTTGATTTCGCTCACAATGGGGGGAGGGGGTATTAATTTTTATACAATTTTTGTAGATGTATGTTGCGTAGGTTATACAAATCCGATGAAAAAGCTGATACGTTATAAAACCGAGAACATGAATAGAGAATCTGTTAGAGAATTTATTAATAGACAACGATATCAATACTTGTCAATTAATATTATGAACAAATGTATCAATATTTGGAACACCATCGATGTCGTTTTCCTCGATTATTCTCGCGAGTCTTTCGGTCTGAATTTTGTTTTTCGCATCTTGTCGTCTTTGCTCGTCTTTCATCAAGACGCTAAATATAAAACTTAGCAATACAATAAGAGGGCCGCCGATGAAAAGGGATACAATACCGTAAGTTTTCAATAATATTCCAGAGATTATAATCATAGTGATATTATATACGTTGAGTATTATATTCATAATTCCTATAGATATATTCTCGGGCTCCGGATAAGTACATTCGAGAGCTACTTCACATCTCAACGCCTGATATCCTGTCACGAAGAATCTATAATGAACAACACCAGAAAATTATTATTAAATTTATTATTATTATTATTATTGAAATGGATTCAACGCTTTTTTTAGATGTCATATGATAATAGAAATTTTAATATATATAAAGTAAACGCCGACATGCTAAATAAAATACGACCAAAATTCTTGTCGAGGTTTCATAATTCATATTATAAGTTACTATAATTTTTTCAAAAGATACATAACTATCATAAGTAATGTAAGTTCGGAAATGTCGGTACATTACTCTATTAAAAACGCTGAGACATATATCATTCATTTCATCCGAAGAAGGATAAATGTCACGAATAATATATGATTGAATAACGAAAAAAAGTATACAGTCGTGACAACAACTCTGCAAATATAAATTTGGGATACATTAAACATAAGTCGCTAAGCTACGAGTATATATATATACATATATATATATATGACGGTTATTTTTAAAGCAAACGCGAATTGCGAGAAAATTACAGACTCTCTTACTTAAACTTATGTATCTTATCAAGTATGATACCGCAAATAACGCTACCAATTAAGCTGAAAGTAACCATACACAAACCAATTCTGCCTACGTCTTCCTCCGCATTCTAAAACATGGACAAGATATATTTTTCAACTCGTGCGAAACTGGAAATGTATACAAAATATATGAAAGTATTTTCAGGTGCTGCTAATAAGTATTTCTTCTTCTCTTTTCCTTCTTCTCATATTTAATCTGCAGTATCATTGCAAATTTACTAGGAAATATTCACTTGGAAATACTCGAGAATTATCGGGTTCGGGAACACACCATAGGTAGTTCCTATGCTGATGTTAATGCTGTAAATGTTACAATATACGGTGAAGTTCCTTTTTTTTTTAATCTTTTAATTGCCTTAACGAATTTATCATCTCTCTTTGCCCGATTTATTTTTTGTAATGCCCACGTTTCCGTTAGCGGTAGCTTCGGATCGTCCTGAAATACTGTCGCAAAAACACATTGAGAAGATTAAAACGGAATAATCTCTTCTGGAGAGAAAGAGCAATCTTTAATTAATTAGTTCATTCTCTTGTGGTCGGTTAATGAAAATAAAACATAAATCGAAAAAGAAACCAGGATAAAATGGATTATCGGTTGTATCGGAAAAATCTAGCCATGTTGATTTAAAAATTTGATAGGTATTCGAAGGAAGATGAGATCGATCTACATTATTGAGACTTTCACTCCGTTAGTGTATTAAAAGCTTCGTCATATTAGACGCATTTAGTAAAATTGTACAAATACATATATGAGATATTCCGAACGGCTTATTAATTAATGTTTATAAAATGTTTACAAAATTTTTATAAAATATTACTTTAGTGTGATGATATTGTTTTAAAGTGGATGCTCAATTTTGAATTACTATAGTAAAATAGTTATGTCTAACGCGTCATGTTAGTAACAATGAATAAATCGTTGATTTTTTTGATATGAATAAATCAAAATGCTCAAAGGCTAAAATTTTATTCTTCGTTGCTTTCCATTATACACAGAAGGCGATTGTTCGCGAAATTACAAAGAAAAAACATTATTTGTATCGGACTTAAATTACAACGATAAGAATCAGACAGCTGCAAGTTTCACAAATATGCAGCATTATTTGCGACGGATTATATACTTACATATGAACGTTAAAAGGAACCCAACCGTCTTGTATCCAGATGGAGGCTTAAAACGCCTAAAGATGTGACGGTCGAGTGTTCATTGGAAGGGAACCACTGCGCGGTTATTTGCCCCGTTAACGGTACGACTATAATCTGATCAGAATAAAGTGTAATTATTACTAGAAAACGTATGGCACAGAGAGGATAAGAGAGGATAAGAGTAATAAAAAAAAAGAAGTAGGATAACAAGAAAAAGGTTAACTTGCGCGATTGCGGCCATCGATTTACCGATGATAATGAGATAGAACCTGTCGGGATAGACGGAAAAGATCTTTATGAAAGCATCTAGCCAACTGAGACCGCTACTTACAGTGAGGATCCATCGCAAACCATATTTATTCGCTAAGTAGGAGACGGAGAATATAAATATAAATACCATGTAAAATATATTTGTTATTGACGTCCATTCGATTATTAACGGAGGTATTCCGTAATATCTGCATAATATACAAAAATAGGTAAATACACCCTGTTTATTTTAATGTGAAAAGAGATCGTAGCAGAAACCACGAATAATGTAGCCGTTTTTCTAAGAACGAGGTTTTATATTTAGAACTGAGTGTGACTTTGAGAGAAAATGTGTAATACCTAGCAACTATGTTGGCTATGATTCCGCACTCTAACCATTGAAACAAAGATCTTGTGGCACAGATCATATAGATAGCTATAATTTTTATTCTTTTATAAAATATGTTTTGCAGATATTCTTTAGATATTCTTGTAAACACGATACAATTGTCCTGTGATTGTAATTTTGTATTATTGTATTGAAATGAAATTTGTTTGTATGAAATTGTATTATTAGTGAACTTTTTGTTTTTGCAGTGTATGACCTAGAGAAAATTACTTTCAACATTTCCGCGACGTTTCTTAAGTTATATGTCACAATGTTGATCCAACTGTCGAAAATTTCTTTATCAAATTTTCAAAATTATATTTGTCTTTTTTAAATTCTTACCATATCCGCAAATTGATGGCAACGTGAGCAGCAACGATAGTACAGATGGAGATTGAGATGAAATGTTACTGTACAACATTTCTGTCGTATAATTTAACTTACTTTGCGCATGAAGTAATCTAATTTATCTTAACGAATAAATAGAGTAGTTTTATTAGTAGCGGTAATGTTCCAGAGATTAGTTTTGCGTACACCGGTTTATTTAGTGTTATCACGATTTTTATCAGATTTGTGCATGCACGTGCTATACATTTTGTATTTTTAAAGCAGTCTTTCGAGTACGAGTTATATATACAATGTGCCATACGCGCTACGTGGAAATATAATTTCACTGTATTTTCCCTTGAGTGCCATCAGGTTGAAGATAGTATAATTTTGACGTAAATCACGAGAAAACGCGTTGGATCTAACGAGATTGTGTATAGGGAGCAGAATAGGCGTTTGAATCACGTGACAATGACATTTTCTTGCGAGAGAATATCACAGTGAAATAAGATCCACATCTTCGTGTAATTTCATTGAGTTTTGATATGCATATATATATGATTTTTTTCTTTCTATTGATAGTCTTTGTTCCAATGGCTATATATATATATATATATATATATATAGTAGATTCATTAGCAGTTATTTATTAATTTGACTTTGTTATTGAGATTTAAATTTGTTATTGACGTTGTTATTGCAAGTATTATTGAGCACGACTTGCACACTAAATGGATTTTTCTTCTTCGTATTTTCAAAAAAAGTGCACGAATAGTAACGGAATTCTTGCTAGATATTCTAACAGAAACATCCATTTATTCAGTATTTTCCTTTCATCCCAATAAGCATCGTTTGTTTATGTAAATTTATCGCTGCGCGCAAAAGATTTTTCTGATACTTCATATGCCTTTACATCATAATTTTCGCGCGCGTTATGTTTACTTTTGATATTACTCATATTAGATGTCGATAATTACATAATAATTAATATCACTTAATCAACGGTGTATTAACATCGCGTAACATCGTATTATATTACATATAATTATAACATGAAATTTAAAACGTAAGGTTCTATTTGCGAGGCAGATATATATTCCATATTTTGGCACATGAGGTATGCGTAAATATCATATCAATTCGGATAGAAAATTACCCCATAGGGAGTTAATTAGCGTCAGAGTTAAAACATTACGCACGATGGTTACGAACTGCGTATTCTAACGGCTTAATTGTAACATAATACGTATTTCATCTGGGAATTTGTTACCACGAGCTCGCGCATTTGAGGAAGAGAGACAGAGAGTTGCGAGAATATTGCAATACTCACTTTGCGTCGGGAAACGCATGCTCTTCCATAAAAAGGTATGGAGTATATCTTATTTCGTGCGCGGGATGCAAGCAACTAAATTGAACTTTATGCATTGTACAACGCGGGCATCTCGTATAGCGATATCGGTTCCGCCCCATGGGTTTTCTGTGAGGATAGATGCGCGAGTAACACGCAATACGTTTTCTATTGACGTGAGAATTTCCACACGTCAGAATTTTGTGACAACATATAAAATCCAATACGACATATTTTCCCGATGCAGTGATTCGTATATGAAACTGTGAACATTGACGCAGTTAGACATTAATGGTTAAAGATGTGAAATTTGTGCGACACATATATGTACATTTTTTTTATCATATCCCGATTTAGATTTGTACTCAGACGGAATGGATATTCCAATAATCTCTGGGAATACACGAACACTGGGGAGAAAAGGTAATCTTACGAGTCAAGCTACGTAAACGATTTATTTCAGGATGAAATAAACAATGCAACAACAATCGCTCAAGGCAATATTGAAATGCAATTTTTTATGCGAGGAATTAATATTTACTGAGCCACGGTTTTGATGTTACTCATCTGAAAAATTATAAATATCAATATTACATATAGTATATCATGAAAAATACACATATGTTAACGTTTATTTTTGTTATAAAATAAACACTGATCTCTCTCTCTCTCTCTCTCTCTCGTGCTCACGTATTCGCTCGTTCGGTTCTTTCCTACAATTTCACACAATTTCACGTGGTATTTTCCCCCACGTCTGTAACTTTGTCGGTTTCCTGGGGTAATGAGAAGTGAACGTAATACTTTGCATATATCAGAATTTTATTGGACGTTACACGTTAACAATAAAGGCGACGCAAATGTAATCCTCTCTTAATCTTACGTAAATCTACAGTTTATTACAAAATTAAACATCTCTAATGTAACTTCTTCGTTCATTAATTCTTTCAATCCTTTTAAATGCATTTATTATTATTTTAGTATTCTGTATACAACGACGCGTATCAAAGAAACGGCTGAAGTCCGAAGAAAACGTCATACGTAGAAACGTACATTCTCATTGTAAAAATATGTGATTCGTGCTCATTACTTCCGTGTATAATTGAGTACCTCGCATACGTCTACTGCATTTCTTTTTATTTTTCGAAGAACGTTTTATCGTTACTTTTTTTTTGTTTTTATAAATTCCCCAATTATTTGTCTTCGACGAGAGCCTCCATAAATATGTTACAAATGATTGATCGCTATTTTGTCATGGAATTCAAAGAAATGATCATTTGGAGCTTCATAAATGTCCTTTTAAATCTATACACATATTCTAACGGTTATTCGATTCTTATTGTATACAGTTTAATGTCTTACAGTTCTTGAACGCTTGGAGGCCGCAATTCGCGGCACTAATCCGGTATTAACATAATAACGTACGTATGTGCATATAGTGCGCGTTACAAACTATTCAATTCACCGAGCAACAGTTCACAGGGCGATGTCCCAAATATAAAAAATGGTGAAAAATCACTTTACACTCTTACAGCATAAGTTATTATTACACAGACACGTTTATACAAGTTTATGCGTACGTTAGGTGGCTAGTTCGAATAGGTGTATATGTCGTCGACCGGGCGATTCTTACGACGTTTCGATCAGATCCGAAACCTTTCAAAATCTTCTCATCTTACGCTAAGGTGGACTAATTTTATACATTTTACATCGACAAGACTAAAATATCTCTTGGGATTTACAGTTCCACGGAAGCATCGGGAATAATAACGAGTATTAATAATTAATTAATTCAGGCCTTGCGTTATGCTAACAATTGTTTGTATTATTTAAGTGAAATAAATACGGTAGCAAATAGTGCCCCGTGCAATGTATTTCGATGAAAAGGGCCAAATCAATACTACGATTAAAAGAGCACAGCCTTTTGTAAGATTGGCAGGCCAATATTGATAATATTGTACCGATATCGGATAAATTAAGTCAATTTTCATTTTTTCTGTTTTTATAAACCGTGCACTCAATTGCGCGTTATTTGCATATTCGACAATGGCGATGCAATAAATCACTATAAACATACGTAAGATGTCTAAATAAGCTGAATGAATATTTTATGTGATAATTGAATATCGAATGAAAGACATAATATTTTCATGTTTCATCGTTCATTTAATATCCATTCAAATTTTGCAAAGCCTAATTTTCATTTACAAAGGTAAGCCTCGTTCATCACGCGTTGCTTCAAAGCACGCAGATATTTCGGAATTAAACTTTGCATCTCTAATATTTTCAAAAATATTGACGGTGAAGAAGTCATATTTCTTTTTAATTGAATAAAATCCGATGAAAGATACACACGGTGAACACATTTTCGTATTTGTTTCCAAAAAATAATTATTTTGTTCATATTTGTACGAACAAGTTGAAGTCATTGATTTAATATACCCTGTATAAAAACGTGATGTATAGAAGCGTCGAGATTTACCACGCAGGATTTCAGTCATTCAGATTTTCGATAAATTCTCGATAAATTTCAAGTCGATTTTTTCACAGGAGAAATTTGACGGACGTCTATCTTTCCCCACAATTTTCTAATGCAAAATATTAAAAATCCCTGATGGTCGAAATTCGAGTGACATAAATTTCTTTTAAATGTCGTCTTTTTTTCTTTGAATTTCGGGTGGATTGTATTTTGATAGGTTCGTAATTTTTAACTTAGTGACGAGGATTAAAGTGGGACATCGGAGAATCGTAAAAATGAATGATGCCCAATCAACTTTTCACCGCGATAAAATCGATTCTAAATTGGCTAAAGAATCTGTAAATGAAAGGATGTACTGAGGTCTCCAGAGAAACGTACGACCATTGGTGTGTATATCAATGAACTGACTTGTGGGTAGTAGCAAACGAACGCGATTGAATCGAACGGGATACGCGGTGCGGCAAAAGAAACGCGAAATCCAATGGACCGTAGAGGGACATTGACGAATAAAAAGATACGATAAGACGTATCACCAAATAGAAGCGCGAACCTCATGCTATCTAGTTTCTCTCTCTATTGCTCTCTCGTTACTGTAAACAGTAGAAATTACTGTTAATTAGAACCGAATAAGCGCGACTGTTTTTTTTTTACAAATTCTAATTTTATTTTTTTACTGTAATTTTATTACAGAGCATCGAACGCGCGTCTAATGTACATATGTTCTCTTTTCCCCCGAGTGATTACGTATGTGTAAAAGTTTTCGAACGTTTCACAAACGATCGAAAAGAGTTGGTTTTTTAAACCAACGTTCGGTGAAACGTATTATCGTAACTGATCATTCACTGGTGAACGTGAATGTTATTACATGACGTTTACAAGGATACATTATTTACAACAAGACTCTCTCGATAGCTCAACCCGTTGGACTATGTCCGCGATCAAGCTATGGCATTCGGTATAATCGATCTGTACACCAACAACTGCCCGTCAATTGTGTGTCTTACAAATTGACAAACGCACGTAGGAAGATATCCGAGAGTAATATATCAACAGAATTACATACTCTAGCGTCGGGAAGAGGGGCGGGGAAGAAGTTATTAATAATTATATATATAACAATAATACACGGAACGGATAAATGGGGATTAATAATTAATTGGCTGCGATATGTGTGTTTCACTTTTTTTCTAATTCGATATTTAACAAGATTTTCCCTCTATCGCTCTCTTTCCGAGTCGCGCGTTATTCCGATAATTTGATCCCAGAACACATTTCGATAGCTTATTAATGTACATCGTATCAATATTTTCATATAAAGATATTTATAAATTTACAGGCATCGCGTTTCTCTTTCTGTTTGTTATTTTTAATTTTAATTTTGGCGTATATCCCACCGAGTTCGTAGATCGTCGTATTTGGCCGGTACGAAAGGATGAGGACGAGTGATTTTATCGGCCCTTTCCTGAAACGCTCGAACTTGTAACCAAAGCGAACTAATCCTATCTGAGACAGTTTAATTTGCAACGCAGCTATGGTATACGAAGCGATACTGAAATACAGGACGTAGGGAGCAACGTAACATAAATAATCGTGTTATATATAAAGAGAATATATTAAGCGTATATTTAGCTGGACATGCTATCCCGGATGTTTCAGGAGTAATGGGACATCGTGTAAACGTACTCGCAGAGACACTATGATTATTACGCATTTCGATTACCCGTAATGTGAGGAATTTACAGGTATTTTAAATGTCGAATATATCGTATATCGTATTATGCCCGTCATAACAACAAAGATATATTTTAATCCGTTCGCTATGAAAATGAAATAGGTCAATTTTTTAAATACGATTAATTTAAACGAAGTACGAGTATTTTTTTTATTTCTGCATTTTTTCATACGATGTTCGAAAGTTTGAGTCTCATCACTTTCGGAATAGGCGATGTAGCTAAATGTTAAAAATCTTCGAAATACATGCATTTAATCGGTGATTATTATTGAACGGAAGAAAATGTTTTTCGAGAAAGTAACAAATATTTTTCCCATTTTTAATTAGTGGTGCTTTTCGATTTAGCACGTACCATGTACGAAATAATCTCACGTTTCCCAACTTTTCTCGATAAGCATGCCAACCATGTTCGTAAATATTTGTTAACAAACGTAGCGTAGAGTCTTACGGCTACTCGTTAAATTCATTTTATACGAGAACTGTAATTCTACAAATTTGTTATGGCAACATACGTCTCGCAAATATTGAATTTAACGAGTTTTAGCGAGTTTCTATCGATTTATCTCGTTTACAAAATGTATCTTATCATTGCATCTCCCCGAAAAGGCTAAAATATCCGGATCTCTATTAAATATGTTAACGAAAAGATGAACGGGAAAGGGTTAAAGCAGTTCCTCGTTATCGTCCGGAGCACCGTACATCTGCGGCCTTCTATCCAAAAGTCGCTGCTGTTGCTGCTGCTGAGTCTGCTGTTGGTGTTGTTGCTTCTGCAGAAGCGCAATACTAGCAGCTTTATAGTTAATCGGCCCGTACGATTTGTAGTCCACGTCCGCGTAATCGAGATCCGAGAATTCCGGCTTGAAGGGCTGCGTAAACAGAAAAACCTGACGAATACCTCGGGACGTGAATGATTTGTATCCCAGACAACGCAAATATTTAAAAGACGCCCTAGTTTTCAGGTGCTCCTTATATATATGTAAAATTTTCCACTTAATTTTTCTACCAACGACATATTAGTTTGAAAATAGGATCAAGCGGGTCTCGCCTAGGAAAAAATTGTCGTTGTGTCAAATGATCACTGTAAAATTTTGATTAGAATCGGTGCTTCAATGATAGTTGAATTGAAATGCACGTGTGCAATTAATTTTCCATTTGCACTGAATTATTCAACGCAATTTTGATTACATCGAATCTAAGCGATAAAGCGTTAAGACGTCTCTCGAACCTTTGTATTGTTTGGGCTCTAATCGTGCTGTGCGGACGATTAGGCACACAATAGTTCTATGGTGGACAATTCGGGAAGTTTCGTAACAGACCTGCTGTACAAGCGATCGAAGCAAATGATCTGGTGTACTATTCCGGGTGCTAAAGCTTTCTCGTTCATGATCGATGTCTGTCAGTTGGACAACGACGTGTCGGGCGAGAACACGAGATTTAATTAAACAGACGGACAGGGATTTAATCGAAGGGCATGGAATTACAAGTGAGCTATCTATTAAATCGACCGGTCGATAATCCGCTTATAATTCTCAGCTCTTCAATTGTTAACATTAAGTGTAGCCGTGATGAGTGTTGTCATGCTGCACGCTGGGCATTCCATAAACCTTCCAAATGGCATGCGTGGTCGGGAATTGAGAGGATTGTCATTCCGGCTATTATACGCGACACGATGCTATCTAACGTGTTTGAAGCCCTTATTGTTGTACGTGGCAAGAGCGACGACGCGGTAGCAGACTATAGTGTAATCGGTATATGATAGAGTAACTTGTGTATCGATGAGAGAAATGGACATCTTTTCTTCCGCGACGCGAATTCCGTGATATCATGCGATACACAATGTAGCAGTGTAGCAATTTGAATATCTGAAAACGGCTTGATAGCTTTTAACATTCTTTTATCCGAATCGGCTATCTCTGTCAGATAGTAAAATATCAATTGAACATTTCGTATACGGACTTCTAACGATGTATAGCGAATATTTCTTTCCTTTTCTTTTACATAGAATATTTACAAGCAGCAAAAGTAAGAATTGAAGTCAACACGGAATCAACATGGGAAAATAGTAGTAATCAACGTAGCGGTAATTTGAGAAAATCAATACACTGTCGTGTTTTTACAAGTGAAGTGAGTTCGATTTTTCCGTCCGCTGCGTATGAACATTCTGTACTCGTAGTATCTCGATTTACGTTATGCGTGTAAGCAGCGTGACATACTCTGTACAATGTACCTACAGAACCTGTCGGACGCCAAATTGTCCTAGTAAATGTACGTATCGCTCTTTGTCTGCTGACCCTCCTACGAACAAACATTGAGATACAATTGGTATGGTAAGCATGCAATAATTCTTTCTTCTCGTTCAATTACGCTTCTCACGTCGGTTGTCACGCGCGAGCAGAGCACGTTCGGGAGAGAAAGAGAGACACAGAAAGACATGCAAGATAATACAGCAAACGCGAAATCGTCCCGATGATAATTCAATTCGGCTTCGATGCCATCGGAAGAGAACGATATGAAATTATTGGTAGCTGGTTCCTCCGAAAGAATCTGAGGAATATAAATAATTTTGACGAAGGGTCGGCAAGGCAAAGTTGCCGCGAGAAATGAGATATAATACTATAAATCGTCAATGCCGTTCCGTATTCTATCAACTTTCCCGGATGATGGTCAGTCTCTGCTGTACCGTTCCTCTCGTGCTGTACGCCATTTTTAATATAAAAAATTTACGACCGCTATCGATCCGATATTACCTATAAAAGTCTGCGGTTTATCCTGATAGCTGGTAACAGTAACGAAATAAGACGGAACAAACCGCGCCAGGCGTATCTATACGTTATTGCGTGCCCGTATACCGGGTATCCTGAAAAATTCGATGCTCGACAAACTCGACAGAGAGTATCGGTTTACCGTTATTAGCTCGAGTTCGGCTCGCGACACCCCGTATGTTTGTGGCGAGCTATACGTATCAAATTGGATAGTCTGTTCGCTATCGGCCACATATGCGTGGTCTCACATCTACTATTGTAGATTGCATTGTCCGTCTTATCAATTTTCTGCAGCGGGGTTTTCTCAAACTGACGAGCTATCGATTTTTACCTTTCGCGTCTACCAGTTCTTTTTTTACATCCGTTTTTTTTTTGGTCGAAACGGCGTCAACTTTCACGCACACAACACTGTTTCCTTCCGTGAATTGAATGTTTTGAATTGAATTTTAAATATTGAAAATATTCAATCCGTGTCATGGACTGGCAACATGGCGACTGTCTGTCCGCATGTCGCATGCAGTAATGTTTTACGTCGCTCAGCATTATGATTTTTTTTTCCTCTCATAAAGTTTTATTGCGATATTGATTTACAACGTGCGGTTTATCAAAGAGAAATCGCCGGGATTGTATTAAAATAAAAAGCGTGCCCGGACAAAAATTCATACGTAACGTTATCGATGATTCCGTTTTTTTCGAAATATCGAATCACGTTGCGTGAGCATCATCAAAGAGCGCGACATTTTTTTTTTAGGACGGAGCACTCGGAATTTCGGTAATATTATAATAGCGATATTGCGCAATATCAGTTATTAACATGGCGTTATTACGAGCGTATAAAATTGCGTTGCGCGGATTACTCAATTTCTGCACTATATTAAATCCGTCCACTCGCGAGCTCCTTAAGCGCGAGTTAATTTGCCGCGCGCAATCAACTTAAATTGTCAGTTGAAGACTGGAAAAGAAAACATTGAAATCCCAACAGCCGCAAGACCGTGCAAATATGAAGAAATGCGAAAGCAACGCGGAAGCCGATGGTCGCACGAAACAAGAATTCCAAGAGGCACACCAGAGGCGAGCGTTTAGAGGAAGAGACACGAAGAAACATTTCACCAAGTAAGCGAAGTGGAAGAAGGTGAGAAAAATAATCTTAATTTGCCCTACCTTTTCACCACGACGTACGTAGAGGGGAACATCTTAAAGAATGTGCTCGGCACGCGCGGGTGTTACCTCTAAGGCGAAGTATGCACCGGGGCCTAAGAAATTGCCACGGCATTCTTCGAAAAAAATGCGATCACCCGCGCGAGCTGTGATCGCCATGCCGCGTTCCTCCGAGGAACGTCCGTGCCGCGGCAGCAGCAGGGCCACTAACCTTTAGACATCGATCTCCTGACCGACATCCCGGAAGTGAAGCTCGGCGTACTGCATTATCGTGGGCGCGGACGGCGATCGGGCGTCGCCGAGATTCGTCGACAACCTCTTCGACGTTTTGTTGCGGTTTTTCGCGTCGCTCGCGTCCGCCGATTGCGCGTTGTTGCAGATGCAGCGATTCGACTGCCGCTCCCACGACTGCTGCGACTGCTGTTGCTGCTGCGGCGACGATTGCTGCTGCTGACGCGCCGCCGAGTTCGGTCTGTGATAGTCGGTTGGACACTCCGCGATGTCGTCTTCGTAATAATTCGGATACGAGATCTCGTACGTCTCCGGCACGCCCAGATCTGCGATCTGGTGGAAACTGGTCTCGCAGGCGGGCGAGCCGACGAAAGCGTCGGTACGTCGCGCGTCCCCTCTTCGGCCCGACTTTGATTTGCGATCGGCCGACGTTCGTTCGTGCTTCCGGTACTTCCGGTTACGCTCGTTACGACGATTTGTCGTGTGCCGACGCGACGACTGTCTCGCGTCGTGGTTGCCGTAACTCGGCTGTTGCTGCTGCTCTTCATCCCGATGCACCGCGGGCAGGTGGTTCTCCGTCGCCTCGTGGTGCATCAGGGTGGACGGCCGGCTGTTGTTAGTGTGCGCGTAGGAGGTCTGCAGGGGACTAACTATCGAGGAATGGTAGAGGCTGCGCGTTAGTGGCAGTGTTAGTTGGTTCGAACTGTTGCTCGGTAAGGGGTAGCTGTACTGCTGTATCTCCTGCCGATGCTGCTGCTGGTAGTGTTCTTTGTAGTTGTATAGGCTGTCGGTCTGCAACAGGCACGGTTAGTAGTTGCGACGGGGCGCGCCACCGGTTAACGCGTATTCTGTGCGTGAGTAAATCGGACGACCAAGACATTACTTCGATTCTCTGTGTTTCGGGAGTGTCGGCACACGATTGGTTACATCGCATTCCGCAGTGCCAGACGAGTAGATTTCGCCAGGTTGCTTCGTGTATCTCGGTACAAAAGTGCTCCATCAATAGGGTGGTACGTCGCGAATATACAATGTGCAAACACGAATACGGATCATTGACTCGCATGCATCTCGTGTTATCTATTGTTGAAACCGGCGTAGAAAAACCAGCGTTTCGTAGTTTCGTCATGCCGTGTTATTCTGAGTTTCATATGTGTGTATATATGTGTGTGCGTGCGCGCGCGCGTTCCCAAAGTACCATCGATCTACGACAAATATTGCCGCCCGTGCAACGATTTTCCGATGACCCGCGAGGACGATTGCCTCGACATTAATTTACCGATACACAGAATGTACCTTCAAACGTAGTTATCCCGAGAGCGTTCATAGTTTAAGACTCGTAGGTCTCGTAAAGGATTTACGGGACTATTACTCGTGCGATGGATATTTTGAATATTCATACATCCCCTTTGCACGGCTTCAAAGAATCCTCGTTGACGACGTTTATCGATATACTGATACCTGAAACGACGATCGGAGAAACGGTGTAAAAGTTCGTCCTACAGATCGATAAGTGGAGGGAAAATACCCCTCTCGCAAATTCGCACTGTACATCCCTGTCGTACATGAAAATGAGAAAATAAGTGGATTACGTGTAACGATCGTAAGGACGCTCGAAGTAATATTCCTGGTCTGTCCGTGTTCGAAACAATCGAGAGCTCGAGTCATTGGTTAAGCGTGTGTGACAGTGGAAACTTACTTGACGCGCGGCCAACATG